TAAATGATTTAGATTCAGGTTTAAGTAGCAACATCTGCAAATTTGCAGATGATACAAAAATCGGTAGGGAAATCAACACGAAAGAAGACTCGCTATCACTCCAAGTTGATCTAAATAGGGTTTTAGAATGGTCAAAAGATTGGCAGATGCAGTTTAATGCTGATAAATGTAGAGTTTTGAGGCTAGGTAATGATGATAGAGTTACAAGATACGTGCTAGATGGGGTTGAGATTGCGAAGTCGGATTGCGAAAGGGATCTGGGAGTTATGATTAGTAAGAATTTAAAACAAAAGGATCAATGCATGAATGTTCATAATAAGGCAAATTGGACACTGGGATTTATTAATCGAAGCGTAAGTAACAAGACACCTGGTGTGGTTCTTCAGCTATATCTTGCTCTGGTTAGGCCCCATTTAGATTATGCAGTTCAGTTTTGGTCGCCGTACTATAAAATGGATATAAATTCACTTGAACGTGTCCAGCGTAGGATGACTAAGTTAATTCCCCAAATTAGAAATCTTTCATATGAAGAAAGATTAACAAAGCTTAAGTTGCATTCACTGGAAAGGCGAAGAGTTAGGGGTGACATGATAGAGGTTTACAAGTGGATGAATGGATATAACAAAGGGGATATTAATAGGGTATTAAAATTATCAACACAAGACAGAACACGAAACAATTGGTTTAAATTAGATAAGTTTAGATTTAGGAAAGACTTGGGTAAATACTGGTTCAGTAACAGGGTTGTTGATTTGTGGAACCAATTGCCGCTTAACGTAGTGGAGATGGGGTCCCTCGATTGTTTCAAGCGCGGGTTGGACATGTATATGAGAGGGATTGGGTGGTTATAGATAGGAGCTGCCTCGTATGGGCCAATAGGCCTTCTGCAGTTACCTTTGTTCTTATGTTCTTATAACAGAAGTAGGATCCCTTGATTGTTTCAAGCGTAGGTTAGACATATATATGAATATATGTTCGCTGGGAAGGAAGATCCACCGCGATGTAGTACGAACAAGCCACTGAGTACTACTTTCTCAAGCCTGGCATAAAGATATCCAGAGACATTGCAGTAGCCATACAAAGCCTCAGACGTGGGTACAAGTGCTGCTGGGAGGTAATAAACCCAATAGTTAAAGAGTGTCATATCTGTGGAACAGATGCACAGGCGCCACTATTGTATTACTTACTGGAATGTGAATCAACTGAAGCTCTGCGCATCAAACTCAACATTAATCCAACGACAACAGCTGCATTAGATGTAAATTCCACTGCGAATACAATGATTAGAAAAGCAGTTAAAGAATGGGACAAAATAGTGAATACTGTGCATCTACATCCGCCACCAAGATAATGTTATTAAAACAAGACTAATACCAGTGCGCTAAACAGAAACGAAAAAGAAACAGGTGGAATCCCCACCTCCAATTAAAACTTTGACCCAAATATCACAGTAACAAAGTTGTCGTGAATAACCGAACTCCATTACGGGCTCACTATAGCCCGTGCTACATGGACACTTCGTTCTGAATAGCTAAATTTAAAACAACAATAACTTGACGCTGTGTGGGGATCTTCGTAGATAAATTCTGTCGATCTGTTGCTGATATATATATATATATATATATATATATATATATATATATATATATATATACGGTATTCAGATATGCGTGATGGAAAGGGGGACATTATGAAGTTCGAGGATGATTCAAAGTTCTTGAGCATCATGGACAAGGCGGAGAGAGGACCGGGATCGCCAGTTGAACGGAAACTGTGGTACAATAAAGATGTAGTCTCATATTTGTGACTGCTTCACCCACAGTTGGTGGTGTTTGAGACTGCTTCTCCCACAGGTGGTGGGAGACACATCTCCCACATGCATAACTATTACACAATAATCAATAGTTAACTAATACGCCAGTAATTGTTTATACACTGACTAGTGTAACTAAGAACTCCTACTGAGGCTAAGTTACATGTTAACTCTCATCTCACTTCCCCATAACACATACATCTCAAACAATTTATATCACGTCATTACGTATAAGGTGATGGTGTATGCGTTACAAATATATTTGTATAATGTTGTGGATATTCACCTTGATTTGGCTCGTCTTCGAGTTCCACAACAGTGCGTACTTCAGCTTGTACCAGAGTCTAGTCATGGACCAGGCTATCCATCAGCTGGACCTGGTACCTCAGCAGGCAAGACCACAGCAAGCGGGGATGGACCAGACTTCCCAGCAGGCGGGGATGGACCCGGATCCCCAGCAGGAGCCGAAGAAGACCAGGCTGAAGGGCAGCAGCTTATTCTGGAGCTGGCTCGCCTCGCAGCCGCTGGCGGGAAGCCTAGTCTCCGACCATCTGAAGGTTCCCGTCAGCCAGTGGACCTGGCTCCCCTACGTCGGGTCAGTGATGCGCCTGGTCCACTTCCGGAGGCAGGTCACCCGCCTGCAGACAGAGAAGGCCAGAGAAGGTCGTTGGAAGATAGACTACATACTGGTCCGTGCTTCCAGCCTTCTGTTTATCCTAGTCACAGGCTGCCTCTACTTTGAGGCGCTCAGCGCCTCGTACTACCGTCAATCTCAGCGCCTGATCATGGCTAAGCAGAAAACCAGGCTTGCCAATCAGATCTGGCTCAGTTCCCTGCCAATCATGAGGCACCTGGTGGCTCCGGAGCGTGTGATGGACGACCAAACTTCCATTTGGAAAACTGATGTTTTCTGGAGGTGCCTTGCCTCTCTGCCGCTCGTAGGAGGCTTGGTACCCAATTATCTGAAGGTTAAGGTAAGGTGGAGCTGGGTGCCGGTCCTGGGGCCGTACGCCCGTCTGGTGCACCTGCGGAAGACGGTCACCTACCTGCAGGAGACGCTGCAGGAAGGTGACTGTGGCGACCGGAAGAGCCCCTCGGTTACTGCCGACCCCTTCACTTTCGCTTGTGTTGCGCTGGTTTGTGCCGGCGTGTGGGTGCTGAAGCGGCTCAGGCTGCTGGTGAAACTGCTTAGGCTGCTTGTGAAGGTGTTGATGAAGGAGGTATACATCTCCCTTCACACTGATCCCTCCCTTCACACTGATCCCTCCCTTCACACTGATCCCTCCCTTCACACTGATCCCTCCCTCCTCCCTGGCCCCTCCCTTCACCCTGATCCCTCCCTTCACACTGATCTCTCCCTTCACCCTGATCCCTCCCTTCACCCTGATCCCTCCCTCCTCCCTGACCCATCCCTTCACCCTGATCCCTCCCCCCACAACACCCCCTCAGGTATCCCTGAGGGCTTCCTTCAGGGCTTCCCACATGAATGTCATCATTGCTGTGTTCAGGCCTGTCCTCATTTCTGTCCTCAGTGCTGCCCTCAGAACTGTCCTCGTGGCTTCTCCCCGGGCTTCTCTTCGGGCTACCCAAAGGGCTTCCCTCAGGGCTTCCCACAGGGTTTCCCTATGGTGAGGCCTCGTGGCTACCCCTTTGGTCACCATCACTGCTGCCCTCATTGCTACCCTGCATGGCTACCCCCAGGGCTACTCCTCAGGGCTAATCACAGGGCTAACCTCACGGACTTCCCACAGGGCTTCCTGTAAGGCTAAACATTGAATCGTCGTTAATAATTATAATTTGTGAGCATCCCTTTACCCTGACCCCTAATACCTCCCTTCACCCTGCCCCTTGAAGCTGTATCAACGTGTCTTTATTCTGAGTGTAGCAATATCAGGTGGTTCCTCTGGTATCACTTCCTTTGCGACAGAATTGTGTGTCTTGTGTTAATATTGAGGTTTCCCCTGAAGATATTGGTAAAGCTCCATTTTCTTTATAACTTCTGGTATAATTTTTCTCTCTTCAAACTCTCTTCTAAATATATTTCCTTCTCTTTGATCAAGACTTTTGTTATTACATTACCTCGTTCTTTTTTTAACTTTAACGATCATGTATATAAAATTTTACAAAAAGTTTTATGGAAAAACTACGATATTTCTCATTTTCTATACATGATTATCTTTAGCTACTTTTTTGTCATTTTCTTTAGCTAGTTTATTGTTGTCTTTAGCAATTGTCTTATTCCCTTTAAGGCAATTCTAGTTTTTGTAGCTAATTTTCAATTTTAACAAATGTTTGGATCTTGTTTTTCCAACCAGTAGTTTTCTACACAAACATATATATAATAATCCCTGTGTCGGGGACAGGAAGAATGTGCACATATAATTTTGGCTTGTATCGAGGTCCCCCCCCCCCACCAAGGTGGAACTACTGACCATCTCCAGGGTGCAAACCCCACAACAGTTGCCTAACTCCCAGGGTACCTATTTACTGCTAGGTGAACAGATACATTAGGTGATAGGAAACGTGCCTAAATATTTCTGTTCTGGCCGGAAAACAAAGTCGGGATCCCCGATTGTGAGTCGGGAACGAAGCCAAGAGAACTACTCTCAAGTGCACATCTTATCGTTAATGGTTGGAACAGGTATAAGTTATTAGAACAGCTATTGTGTATGGGTTTTTTTCCTGAAGATAGTAGGAGGTATCCATCAGTCTCAGGAGACTATGGAGTTGCGCTCTGATGTCGGTCTGGATATCGTGCCTCTGATTACGGCCTGGATATCGTGCCTCTGATTACGGCCTGTCGGTCCGTAAGATACGTGTTATCTTACGGACTGATGAAAGAAGCTTCCTTTGAGCATGTTGACCAGACCACACACTAGAAGTTTGTGGTCTCAGGACATGTTCCTTTGAACATGTCCTGAGAAGACTCTTCAAGTCTTCCTCGGGTGTGTCTAATTTAAAGGTGCTCTCATCTCTGTGTAAAATACAAGAGCTCTTTATACGTTAGAAATTGTCCTTGTTAATATATGTTAGCATTTGTTCTGGTAAGAAAAAGTTTCAGCGACTGCAAACAATTTAATTTTTATGTTATATGCATCAGATTGTTGAAATAAATAATTTGGTGGTTGTATATATGTCGTCAACTTATTCCTATAAGGCGAGTTACAATGAGAATTATTCAATTAAGTTAACTATAGCTGGGTGAGGGCTTGTAACTTGGAGTGGGCTTATAGGTCGGAACAGGCTTGTAGCTTGGAGTGGGCTTATAGGTCGGTACAGGCTTGTAGCTTGGAGTGGGCTTATAGGTCGGTACAGGCTTGTAGCTTGGAGTGGGCCTATAGGTCGGAACAGGCTTGTAGCTTGGAGTGGGCTTATAGGTCGGTACAGGCTTGTAGCTTAGAGTGGGTCCATAGGACGGTATGGGCTTGTAGCTTGGAGTGGGTCCATAGGACGGTACAGGCTTGTAGCTTGGAGTGGGTCCATAGGACGGTACAGGCTTGTAGCTTGGAGTGGGTCCATAGGACGGTACAGGCTTGTAGCTTGGAGTGGGTCCATAGGACGGTACAGGCTTGTAGCTTGGAGTGGGTCCATAGGACGGTACAGGCTTGTAGCTTGGAGTGGGCCTGTAGGTCGGGGCGGGCTGGTAGCTAGGCTGGTAGGCTGGGTACTGAGCCTCGCCCTGGTACTCCACTTGAGCGACGTAGCCGGAGTCACCGTTCACAGTGTAGGAGACGCTCTCCAAGCGACCGTCGGGAAGCTGGACGTAATAGGATCCCTGAGTGTCGTAGCCATTACGAGTTTCGTCGTGGCCGAAGTCGTTGCCGGAGTAGTCGTCCTTCACGGCCCACTGGAACTGGTATTGTGCAATGTCCTGTGTAGTAAAGACAATAGAGAATTATAATCCCGAAGACCTATCAACAAAGATCTAATGAGCACAATATATTTTCGGATATATTTTTGTTTACAGCTACTAACGACGACTTGCTTTTCGGAATATGATGGAATATTTGATAAACAATAGTTTGTTTACCATTGTATCCGAAGGCAAGTTAGGAACTTACCGTTGGAGGAGTGTTGTATGATGGAGTTCGTGGGTAGTAGGAGGGGCTTGGAGTGTTGTAAGAGGGAGTTGGAGGGTAGTAGGAGGGGCTTGGAGTGTTGTAAGAGGGAGTTGGAGGGTAGTAGGAGGGAGTTGGAGTGTTGTAAGAGGGAGTTGGAGGGTAGTAGGAGGGAGGTGGAGAATTGTAGGAAGGAATGTATTGAGCTGAGGCGACCGCTACGAGGATGGCCACAATGAAAACCTGCAAATAGTTAAATATAAGATTATAAACGAACATGTCCATTGATTTAAAAATGCGTTAAATAATGACAATATTATCAGCTCGTATGATTATGAGAAGATACCTTGGGAGCCATGGTGTATGTCTGTATGGGGAGGATAGGACGTGACTGATGTTCAGCAACTAGTGCTGAGGCCTTATATACTAGAGTCTGCATCTCCCCCGCTGTGGCATCTCCCCTACTGAGGCACCTTCATCATCATCATTGACACACAAGATATTGATGACCTTGCCAATTATAGGTTTGATAATTTATTTGATAAGAACGCGGCTTTTGTACGCTAGTTTTATAGATTTATTGAGAGCATTTTAGTTTCTAACAGATGTAGTAGGCATCCATCAGTCTCAGGAGACTATGGAGTTGCACTCTGGTGTCGGCCTGGTCTGGAGTGGTCTCACCAGGGTGCAAAGCCAGGGTAGGTTGATTCGGGGGAGAAGCTGTTACCCAAGCAGCAGGCCCCCCCCCCCCTCTCCACATCTCCAAACAGATGTATTTACTTTATTATTCAGATGTACTTTCTTTTCATTAATCATTAATACTCATTATTGCTAATAATTATTTTATTTTATTGTTTTTTCTTCAACAAAATATTAATAATACTTTATTAGATTAGATCTATCGACTTGAGAATGGTCCAGGACGGACCGAAACGTCTTCGTCCCTTCACCTTCTAGTGTGTGGTCTGGTCAACTTTATTAGATTATTTTCAATGTTTCCTGTACCAGACTGTAGTTATTCAATCTGCCTCCAGATTTAACACTATCAACTACGCAGTCAAAGTCTCGGAGCTTTATTAAAATTTAGACCACCGTAATATTGGTACCTTCTCGGATTAATAAAGATTGGTCTCGATAGGTTGGGTGAGTAGTCTTTATTCGAACGATTATTGGTAAAAACGGTTTCGAATTTGACGCTTGTCAGATCATAATAATGGAATGATTTAATAATTGCTTTCCAGCGGCCTTGCTGAGTCCTGGGAAAAGCCAGGGTCCAGGATCCCAGTTTTTTCTTTTTGTCAATTTTTAAAGAAATTTTAGGAAAAAATTGGGAAAGAGAGCTCTCATTTTATAAACCTTGAGTGTGAGAGGGAGAATTCTTAGTCTGTAAATACTGGGTGTAGAAGGGAGAAGTCTTAACTTGTAAACACTGGGTGTAGGAGGGAGAACTCTTAACTTGTAAATACTGGGTGTAGGAGGTTGAACTCTTAACTTGTAAACACTGGGTGTAGGAGGTTGAACTCTTTGCTTGTAAACACTGGGTGTATGAGGGAGAACTCTTACTTGTAAATACTGGGTGTAGGAGGTTGAACTCGTAGCTTGTAAACACTGGGTGTAGGAGGGAGAACTCTTAACTTGTAAATACTGGGTGTAGGAGGTTGAACTCGTAGCTTGTAAACACTGGGTGTAGGAGGGAGAACTCTTAACTTGTAAATACTGGGTGTAGGAGGTTGAACTCGTAGCTTGTAAATACTGGGTGTAGAAGGGAGAACTCTTAACTTGTAAACACTGGGTGTAGGAGAGAGAACTCTTAATATGCAAACATTGGGTGTATGAGGGAGAACTCGTAGCATACAAATAAGATTTAGGAAAGTGTTTTATCTTTATTTATATTTATTAATAACTGTCTTCGACAAGTTCTCATAGTTGCTTCTGTAATTACCAAGGACACGGCTCTCCCTCAAGACGGCTGATGATCTCATACAAGGATGAATGGAGCATCTTCTATATAAAGCTGAAGCATTAAATGCTGATCACCAGTTCTCCTCCATATCGTAGACCAGCATGGCTTTGAAGGTGCGTTCCTTGAAGCATACGATTTGCTATTATTGTTATAAGCAGTTCAGGACGTATACAAAAAAGCAATGGACTTATTTTTCAAAGGTTTTTATGTTTTATTTTCACAGGTTTTTGTTGTCATGGTCACTGTCCTGGCTGTCGCCTCAGCTGACAGCCGATTGTCATCCCGTTCTCCACCTCCCTCACGCACTACGCCAACTTCTACGGTACGGGCGTTACTTCCGCTATGTAAAATATGATCAAATCAAGTTTATTTACAGAATCTAGAAAAAAATCTAGATCTTCTAAAACTAGATTGATGATAGCGACTGTTAAGAGACAGATATCCGATTTATTTTGCGTAGAGTTCACTATAAAATTTCAGTATACTTCAGTGTTATTTTTTTTATTGAACAGAACACGAAACAATGGGTATAAATTGGATAAGTTTAGATTTAGGAAAGACTTGGGTAAATACTGGTTCGGTAACAGGGTAGTTGATTTTTGGAACCAATTACCACGTAACGTAGTGGAGGTGGGGTCCCTCGATTGTTTCAAGCGCGGGTTGGACAAGTATATGAGTGGGATTGGGTGGTTATAGATAGGAGCTGCCTCGTATGGGCCAATAGGCCTTCTGCAGTTACCTTGTTCTTATGTTCTTATGTTCTTACTGTAGTCTGGCCCTGCCGGTCAAACAACTCCAAGCATCAAGCCCAGTCGTACTATACGACCAATCACCGCCAACCATCCTACTCCTCGCCTGAAGACCAGTCGTACTGTGCGGCCTACCCAGAGCATCAAGCCTGGCCCTACCATGCGACCTACTCCCAGCTTCAAGCCCGGCCCTACTATGCGACCTACTCCCAACAGCCAGCCCACTCCCAGCTTCAAGCCCGGCCCTACCATGCGACCTACTCCCAACAGCCAGCCCACTCCCAGCTTCAAGCCCGGCCCTACTATGCGACCTACTCCCAACAGCCAGCCCACTCCCAGCTTCAAGCCCGGCCCTACCATTCGTCCCACACTGAGTAATCTGCCTAGTCCCGGCCCAACCAGCCGTTCTTCAAGGCAAAAGTCTTCTCCCTGAGATGTTTAACTTCTTCACAAGCAGACTTATAACATTTGATTCTGTCAATAAAGACACGGAGATATTTCCTGTTGCATATAACTCATTTAGAAATATGTATTAATAGGCAGTTTTATTATCATTAAATTTCATTACAATAATGCTTTTGTTTTCATTGTGACACCTGGAGTGCTTGGTGAAGTGTTTATGACACCTGGAGTGCTTGGTGAAGTGTTTATGACACCTGGAGTGCTTGGTGAAGTGTCTATGACACCTGGAATGCTTGGTGAAGTGTCTATGACACCTGGAGTGCTTGATGAAGTGTTTATGACACCTGGAGTGCTTGGTGAAGTGTCTATGACACCTGGAGTGCTTGGTGAAGTGTTTATGACACCTGGAGTGCTTGGTGAAGTGTCTATGACACCTGGAGTGCTTGGTGAAGTGTCTATGACACCTGGAGTGCTTGGTGAAGTGTCTATGACACCTGGAGTGCTTGGTGAAGTGTCTATGACACCTGGAGTGCTTGGTGAAGTGTCTATGACACCTGGAGTGCTTGGTGAAGTGTCTATGACACCTGGAGTGCTTGGTGAAGTGTCTATGACACCTGGAGTGCTTGGTGAAGTGTTTATGACACCTAGAGTGCTTGGTGAAGTGTCTATGACACCTGGAGTGCTTGGTGAAGTGTCTATGACACCTGGAGTGCTTGGTGAAGTGTCTATGACACCTGGAGTGCTTGGTGAAGTGTCTATGACACCTAGAGTGCTTGGTGAAGTGTCTATGACACCTGGAGTGCTTGGTGAAGTGTCTATGACACCTGGAGTGCTTGGTGAAGTGTCTATGACACCTGGAGTGCTTGGTGAAGTGTCTATGACACCTGGAGTGCTTGGTGAAGTGTCTATGACACCTGGAGTGCTTGGTGAAGTGTTTATGACACCTAGAGTGCTTGGTGAAGTGTCTATGACACCTGGAGTGCTTGGTGAAGTGTCTATGACACCTGGAGTGCTTGGTGAAGTGTCTATGACACCTGGAGTGCTTGGTGAAGTGTCTATGACACCTGGAGTGCTTGGTGAAGTGTCTATGACACCTGGAGTGCTTGGTGAAGTGTTTATGACACCTGGAGTGCTTGGTGAAGTGTCTATGACACCTGGAGTGCTTGGTGAAGTGTTTATGACACCTGGAGTGCTTGGTGAAGTGTCTATGACACCTGGAGTGCTTGGTGAAGTGTCTATGACACCTGGAGTGCTTGGTGAAGTGTCTATGACACCTGGAGTGCTTGGTGAAGTGTCTATTACACCTGGAGTGCTTGGTGAAGTGTTTATGACACCTGGAGTGCTTGGTGAAGTGTCTATGACACCTGGAGTGCTTGGTGAAGTGTCTATGACACCTGGAGTGCTTGGTGAAGTGTCTATGACACCTGGAGTGCTTGGTGAAGTGTCTATGACACCTGGAGTGCTTGGTGAAGTGTCTATGACACCTAGAGTGCTTGGTGAAGTGTCTATGACACCTGGAGTGCTTGGTGAAGTGTCTATGACACCTGGAGTGCTTGGTGAAGTGTCTATGACACCTAGAGTGCTTGGTGAAGTGTCTATGACACCTGGAGTGCTTGGTGAAGTGTCTATGACACCTGGAGTGCTTGGTGAAGTGTCTATGACACCTGGAGTGCTTGGTGAAGTGTCTATGACACCTGGAGTGCTTGGTGAAGTGTTTATGACACCTGGAGTGCTTGGTGAAGTGTCTATGACACCTAGAGTGCTTGGTGAAGTGTCTATGACACCTGGAGTGCTTGGTGAAGTGTCTATGACACCTGGAGTGCTTGGTGAAGTGTCTATGACACCTGGAGTGCTTGGTGAAGTGTCTATGACACCTAGAGTGCTTGGTGAAGTGTCTATGACACCTGGAGTGCTTGGTGAAGTGTCTATGACACCTGGAGTGCTTGGTGAAGTGTCTATGACACCTGGAGTGCTTGGTGAAGTGTCTATGACACCTGGAGTGCTTGGTGAAGTGTTTATGACACCTGGAGTGCTTGGTGAAGTGTCTATGACACCTGGAGTGCTTGGTGAAGTGTCTATGACACCTGGAGTGCTTGGTGAAGTGTCTATGACACCTGGAGTGCTTGGTGAAGTGTCTATTACACCTGGAGTGCTTGGTGAAGTGTTTATGACACCTGGAGTGCTTGGTGAAGTGTCTATGACACCTGGAGTGCTTGGTGAAGTGTCTATGACACCTGGAGTGCTTGGTGAAGTGTCTATGACACCTGGAGTGCTTGGTGAAGTGTCTATGACACCTGGAGTGCTTGGTGAAGTGTCTATGACACCTGGAGTGCTTGGTGAAGTGTCTATGACACCTGGAGTGCTTGGTGAAGTGTTTATGACACCTGGAGTGCTTGGTGAAGTGTCTATGACACCTGGAGTGCTTGGTGAAGTGTCTATGACACCTGGAGTGCTTGGTGAAGTGTCTATGACACCTGGAGTGCTTGGTGAAGTGTCTATGACACCTGGAGTGCTTGGTGAAGTGTCTATGACACCTGGAGTGCTTGGTGAAGTGTCTATGACACCTGGAGTGCTTGGTGAAGTGTTTATGACACCTGGAGTGCTTGGTGAAGTGTCTATGACACCTGGAGTGCTTGGTGAAGTGTCTATGACACCTGGAGTGCTTGGTGAAGTGTCTATGACACCTGGAGTGCTTGGTGAAGTGTCTATGACACCTGGAGTGCTTGGTGAAGTGTCTATGACACCTGGAGTGCTTGGTGAAGTGTCTATGACACCTGGAGTGCTTGGTGAAGTGTTTATGACACCTGGAGTGCTTGGTGAAGTGTCTATGACACCTGGAGTGCTTGGTGAAGTGTCTATGACACCTGGAGTGCTTGGTGAAGTGTCTATGACACCTGGAGTGCTTGGTGAAGTGTCTATGACACCTGGAGTGCTTGGTGAAGTGTCTATGACACCTGGAGTGCTTGGTGAAGTGTTTATGACACCTGGAGTGCTTGGTGAAGTGTTTATGACACCTGGAGTGCTTGGTGAAGTGTTTATGACACCTGGAGTGCTTGGTGAAGTGTCTATGACACCTGGAGTGCTTGGTGAAGTGTCTATGACACCTGGAGTGCTTGGTGAAGTGTCTATGACACCTGGAGTGCTTGGTGAAGTGTTTATGACACCTGGAGTGCTTGGTGAAGTGTTTATGACACCTGGAGTGCTTGGTGAAGTGTCTATGACACCTGGAGTGCTTGGTGAAGTGTCTATGACACCTGGAGTGCTTGGTGAAGTGTCTATGACACATGGAGTGCTTGGTGAAGTGTTTATGACACCTGGAGTGCTTGGTGAAGTGTCTATGACACCTGGAGTGCTTGGTGAAGTGTCTATGACACCTGGAGTGCTTGGTGAAGTGTCTATGACACATGGAGTGCTTGGTGAAGTGTTTATGACACCTGGAGTGCTTGGTGAAGTGTATATGACACCTGGAGTGCTTGGAAGTGCCTATGACACCTGGAGTGCTTGGGGGTGCCTTATTGTCATGTCATTCCAGCCCTCATATATTTGTAATTTTGTTATATAATTTTATTACTCAACTTTATTACTCAACTTTATTACTCAAAATAAACTACAATGTGATTACATTCAAGGTACAAAGTTTTTCTCACAGGCTGCCGGGTTCCTCAGCTCAGGCCTCAGTTGGCGAAGAGGAACCATGAATATAGTGTGTTTTCCCTCTGTAATACTACGCTCAGATGCAGGAAAAGGCTCTAGAGGCTCTAGGTTCTCGCATTGTTTCGATTACCTTAGAACCAAGTTGCTTCAAAAAACTTGTGGCACTTTTACTCCAGGCACCAAGTGTCGCCAAAGCAATGGGGACAAAAGTGAAGTGGTGACTCGGATCTCTGTACTTAATGGACTTGGCTGAGTCCCTGTGAGTGGCAGCCGTCCGGATGAGCAACTTTGAAGTCAATGTAGGTGTTTGCCAGGGTGGATACACACGTATAGTCCCTCACCAACTGTCTACTATTCTTCTATATTTGCTCTGTGATCTCATCTGGACGACTAACAGGCTTGTCTGAGTCACGGGGCATTAGATTATGGGGTTGAACAACCGGGAAACATCAGAGGTCCGCGGTTGTTCAACACCCTCCCAGCGAGCATAAGAAATATTGCCGGAACAACCGTGGACATCTTCAAGAGGAAACTCGATTTATTCCTCCAAGGAGTGCCGGACCAACCGGGCTGTGGTGGGTATGTGGGCCTGCGGGCCGCTCCAAGCAACAACCTGGTGGACCAAACTCTCACAAGTCAAGCCTGGCCTCGGGC